TCTCTCTCTCTCTCTCGCTCTCTCTCTCTCTCTCTCTCTCTCTCTCTTTCTCTCTCTCGCTCGCTCTCTCTCTCTCGCTCGCTCTCTCTCTCTATGGGGGGAAGGGGGGTGCAGTGCGCGTGCGTGTGTATTTATGTTTGTGTCTTGGTGTGTGTGCGTGTGTAAGCTATCAAAAATTTATGCCTGCCAGGTGCTGTTGAGGTATATTGATCACATTAACGTGTAAGATTATACTTTTATATCTATATCAAGTGGCGTTGGTCAGGTGGTCAGCGGAAAGTGGCAGTCGCCCGCTAAGCTTGGGTCAGGGTTCGGGTCAGAGTTAGCGGTAGGGGTAGGGTAAGAGGGAAGAGGTAAGGAGCCTTGACATTTGACATTTGACCTTTGACATTTGACATTTGACATTTGACGTTTGACATTTGACATTTAGGGGTGCCTGGGCCTGTGCGAGTGAGTGTATAATATGTGTGTCTAAGTGTGCGAAAGCGTATGGAAAACGTGAGACGACATGCGACTTTTTGAGTTTCCGATCAATATATATAAAGTGTTGAGAGAGTCGTAGAAAATGTTTCAATTCCCAAAATGAACACACTGCTCATGTATTTATTCCGTGACATTAAAGCAGAGAGTCAGTTTAAATTTAGAATCGCCTACCGTGAGATTAAATGTGTTATTTAGCGGAAAAATACTATTTGAATTTAGAATCACCTACCGTGAGAGTAAATGTGTGTTGTTTTAAGCGGGAAAGAACAGTTTAAATTTAGAATCCTCTACCATAAGAGTAAATGTGTGCCTTTTTAAGCGGGATAGCATAATTCAAATTTAGAATCCCCTACCGTGAGAGTACTAAATGTGTGTTGTGTTAAGCGGGAAAGCATAGGGCCTAATTTAAATTTAGAATCTCCGTCATAACGCATGCGCAGTGTGTCTGTTTTCAACTTAAAAACATTTCTCAATGCGTGTTCTCACGTGTTTACATTCTTCACTGTGCGACCCTTGCTTGACCTCCATCTCTAGTACTATATACGATACGAAATTCAGAAACTCGAAAACTCGGAAACTCAAAAAGTCGTATGTCGTTTCAGGGCTTCCATAAAAGCGTGTGCGTGCGTGCGTTGTTAAAGGGCCGGACACACTAGGCGATTTAATCGGGCGACTTTATTGCCCGATAATATCACCCGATTCTATCGCGCGAGTCGAGTGGACACACTAGGCGAATCGGGCGACTAAATCGCCCGATTCTATCGTGCGAGTCGAGTGGATTTTTGACGGCGAGTAGGACCGGACACACTAGGCGATTTTACACGTGTGTGCATGAGTGTGTTGGTGCATACGTGCGTACAGGTACACGTGCCTGCGTGCATGCATGTGCACGTAGATGTGCGTATGTGCGTGCGTGCGTGTCCACGTACACCTGCGTGCATGCATGCGTGCGTGCGTGTGTATGTAAACGTGCGTGCATGCGTGCGTGTGTGCGTGCGTGCGTGCGTGCGTGTGTGCGTGTGCACGTATACATGGGTGCGTGCGTGCGTGCGTGCGTACACGTGCTTGCATGTGTGCGTGTGCACTTACACGTGCGCGCGTGCGTGCGTGCGTGCGTGTGCAAGTACACGTGCGTTCGTGCGTGCGTGCGTGTGCACTTACACGTGCGTACATGCGTGCGTGCGTGCGTGTGCACGTACACGTGCGTGCATGCGTGCGTGCGTGCGTGTGTATGTAAACGTGCGTGCATGCTTGTGTGTGTGTGTGCGTGCGGTAGTTCAACGTACAACCAGTGCGTCGCGCCCATTGCCGATGTCCCGTCGTAGCGTGCTTGAGCCTCCCGTGACTTAGTACAGCCGTTGAGCTGACCGTGTACGCACGCTTCCGCCCACACGAGATAATTTCAGAGCCCCGTCGGCCCGCTCGACACCCCCAGTGCGGCTGACTGACAGATCATAGCCGTGCGTGCGTCGTGTGACTGGACCGCGCCTGTAGCCCAATGCGGCGTGGCCCGTGGGGGCATGCAGGGGTTGGCTGATCGCGTAGCGTTGCTATGCGTAAGCCGTGCTAGCTACGTAACACGCTCGCGATGGCGCATGCGTGCCCCCGCACTCGCGAGGCGTGACTAAGCTCGTGCCACAGTGCTACTATCAGCTGTGCTCGCACGAGTGACTGTGCCGTGCCGTGCTGATGCGCGCACACCGGTATTGCATGACCGGTGATATCCAGCAACGTATGGCCAGGCTATATCCCGATGATCGCATGCGTGCGCCGACTGACACTCCACTTGATAAAAAAATAAAAGCCAAGATGTGTCACGTCCTACTCGCACGAAATCACAAAATCCCTATTCACTAGTGCGAGCATGACTGTAGCATACGATAGATGAATCAGGGCGAATAGCTTCGCCGCGATCATTACGCCTAGTGTGTCCAGTAACTCACTTGACTACGAAACCTCTCGATCGATATGACTCGGAACTAGATAATTGATGGGGCATAAAGTCCCCAATGATTAAACGTCGCCTAGCTAGGATCGTGCAACCATCGTTCTGACTCCACACGGAGACGCACCCGGACACACCGGTAGGCCAATTTTAATCGGCGACTGAAAATAATCGCGGCGACTAATATTCAAAACGTGTTTTGATCTATGCGATTAAATCGGCACACTAAGGCGGGCAACTAAATCGCGGGATCCATGAGTGGGACCCACCTAGGCCGATTTCACCGCGATTGTAGTCGCCCTGTATTTAGTTGTATCCGCGATTTATCGCTTAGGTGTGTCCAGGTGACCTTAACTATTGTGTAGAATGCAGCTCTGATAAATAATAGGCAGCTTAGGACTGGAGCACGCGCGACAGAGACACTTGGATATATAATTGGGCATTTGCACAGATTGAGCTTTTGGTGAGTGATTAGGTGTGGGCTGTGTAGTCCTTAATTTGTCGTGAGTATATGGTTCAAGCCATGTCAATTAAGCAGACGTCGTTTCACATTTATAATGATGAATATAGAATAATTTAATTTTAGTTAGCTTTTTGTAGTGTATCAGATGGGCTTTTTACAGAGAAAGGGCTGCTAGGAAGTGTCTCGACATGTTTTCATTCAATGAGATTGAACAGCAACCAGAGAGTATTCGGAAGGAATAGAGATTGATTAAACTAACTATATAGTATCAATATGTTATTCTATATATATTACCACGTCACGCGCATAAGAGGGAGAGGTCATAATTGGTTCAATTGTCGTTCAATAGGTATGTGTGTTCTGACAGAGATGCTGATGTGCGTGTTGTAGCCGTAGTGTGTCGCAGGCCGCGCGGCGTGATCGATAGCGCCGTCGAGTCAGCGATCCGCGCGGCAAGCGAATCGATAGCGCCGTCGAGTCAGCGAGGCAGTGGAGTCAGCAGCAGCCACCAGTGAGCGGCGGAGTCAGCAGCAGCCAACAGTGCTGAGGCGACGCTCAGCAATGCAGGCGCGCGTATTAGAATTCAGACTGAGATTTTTCTAATTTAAATTTAGGCCTATGCTCTCTCTGCGCCGCCTTGAACACACAGCACACATTTAGTCACTCTGCAAGCCCGGATAAGGGCAGTGCTAACAATTTGACAATATGTATGCTATCATCCCGCTTGACAAAGCACACATTTACTCTTCTGGGTAAGAGGATTTAAAGTGTTAAACTGTCTTATCGCTAAAAACAACCACTCACATTTAGCTGAAGGTTGCACGGTTCAATAGCGTGATCTACTAGAAAATATGCAGTCTGATGTAGTGTGTGTGTGTGCTTGTCGCTGCTAAAGTTAGATCACATTGCTAATTGTCTGCACGGTAGGTGCTCGCAGTCGTTCTAAAAAGTTTAAACGCTGTGTAGCTGTCGTCGTGCTGAATGTAGCGTGTGTGTGTGTGTGTGTGTGGTGTGCTTGTGTTGATCGAACCAGAAATTTTGGTCGGGCCTGCTAGGAGGCGCCCTGGATTGGTCCGGCTGCATAATGTGAGGCTCTATTGGATACGGAGTATTCAAGCATGATGGCTAGCTCGAGATTGGCGAGGTTGGTGCTATTGCACCGTCTTGAGAGTTGAAGATTGATCGTGTACATGTTTCTAACGACACGGTCCTCTCAATCGATACTCGGTTCAGTATTCTGAGCTTACGTTGAGGCCCCTGAGTTGTAACACTGCTGAGCTATGAGGAGTCGGCACTGGCTCTGAGTTGCTGTCCACGGTTTTTCTGAGTACGCTTCAAGTGACGGCCACATGTATTAGTCGAGTTGCTCAGCACATACTGCCTGATTAGGTCAGCGCTTGCCTAGGAGGCCCCAGATTGGTCGGCTGCTAGGAGGCCCCTTAGATTGGTCAGGCACTTGCTAGCGAGCGCTACCTGTGACGCTTAGGTAGCCCTGACGCTACGCAGCGCCCTCTGAATAATGTGTCGAAATGTCACTATTCATCGAGCGAGTCATATAGAGAGATTTGCGCAAATCGTCGAAGAATGTCATGCAGTACGAGGCTTCCTCATATGAGTTTGCAGAATCGTCTGAAGCTACGCAGCCTCTCGATAGGCAGCGTCTGCCTCCACTGTTACCCAGTACCTCGTATTAACGGCTGAATCTGCTACGAGCCTCCCTGACCTTGAAGCTTCGAGCGTGCTGAGCACGAGCTCGGTGTCGAATCTGGTTCGGTTGCCTGTTTCCGACCAACTGCACGCGCATATAGTCGACCACATTCGTCTAGGATAGTACGCCACTGATAGGTACGAGTTAGGTACGATTATCCAATAGCAACACGCTTAAACTGCGTGATGCGAACTGATTGAGCTCCTTATACAGCGTGGCCGTGAGATGGCTCTTATAAAATCACTGTTGCAGAGATAAAGCTGTTAACAACTATCACACACCAGCACAGTACGCCATGGATTACATTATCGTGCTTGCGCAACACGAAAATACATACGCTGCTGTAACTCGATTCTAATTGATTTTTTTACCCTTGTTTCCCCTTCTTATAATAGTCCAAACCGAGTAGCACACATAACAGATGCACGCACCCCCGCCACCACCACCCATAGAGAGATGAAGAGAGAGAGAGGAGAGCGAGAGAGTGTGCACTTTTGGTTTAAGCGGAATTGCTTGAAAAACTTGTATATAAAGGTTGTTATCTGTTGCACCACACATTATTTATATCTAATGCCTGCTGTTGGGGGCACATATGCTCTCATAGTGTTGCTGAAGCGGAAGAAATATGCCGAGCGGAGCGAGGGAACTATTCCTTCCCAACGCAAACACTATATAGACATGTAGTGCGCCCCAACAGCATGGCATTTAATGTTTTTAGTGCATCACATGACTATGCCAATCTACTTTTCATGGCGTTATTACCTTTTATACTCCGCTAAATTTTGCGCGGTGATTCGATGGATAACAACGCTCGACACAAACACAATCGCCCATTAATTCCAAATCTTGGCGTGGCGCACAGACGCAGGAGATTCGTGACTCGTAAACACCAATGCGTTATGAATAAACAATGCGGTCGCGCAAGCGATAGTGCCCGATAAGGCGGGCACTATCTCTTTCATAATCCTGGCTGCGTTATCCAATGAGATTGCCAGCGTATTCATCACGTCATGCACTAAACAATAATAATACACAACGCATACAATAATATAGGCTCTAAAGATTTTCTGAGAAGAGAGAAACTTGGAACAGGCAGCCCTTGGTGGCGCGTACAGCGAGCCCCACGCTACGCGCCTGGGCAGCGTTAACGGGTATTTGTTACACGCACTACTTTGATGTTTTTGGCTATAATTTCATAATTACATAATCCAATTTATTGAGATATGTAGAAATAGCGCTCAAAAGATTATACTAATATTATAGAAACTATTTATTGAGTGTGGTTATCTTTGAAGTATGTAATAGAAATAAGGTTGAAACAATGAAATGGTTCAACAAAAATGCAAAAATTTTCCACTAGTATTTAAAAATTTGACGCGATATATCAAAATATCTATAAGTCTGCATGATCCATGCTATATGTCAAAAATGACGAGATTTTCGCCATCATCTGAGCTATTTCTTGATTAAACTTGCATGGGTATTATGAAATTATAGGGCGAGAAACCTAGAGTGTTATAACGCAATACCCGTTTAACATGGCCAGGGCGCCGCTTACGTTCACCAGATGGCGCTGTTCATTTGGCACTATATCAGAAATCCTCAGGAACCTCATGTAGTAGCGCGTATGCAACAGTTTCAGCATTCTAACAAAAGTACAAATCCATGGCTTATCCGCTGTGGGGGAAGTAGAAGACGCGCGTGGTGCTGTTGATTTATTTACTCGCGCTTACCAACTACGCTTGAAAATCTTGAAAACTTGAATACGGCTGTGTGTGAACTACAATTAACATGAAAAATTCTTACCTTTGGTTGTATATAACACACCTTAATCTGATAATGCCACGCCTGCCTTCGAAGTCACACTCTGCCTGAATGTTCACCACTGTTGCACTGCCTTCCAGGTTGAAATGTACGTACATATCTGGCTTTATGTTCACGTTGGATATAAGTCACCAAACCTAGTTTTACCCGCTAGTGTAGACGTTTTGTTCATCCTGGTTGAGTGCAATACGTACATAAGCAGCGACGGCTTCTTATCAAGAGATTATTATTGTAGCATGAACGGCTCTAACGCATAATATACGGCGGTCCTCTAGCCAACAGACTGAGTCCCAATTCAAAGATGCTAACCACCAACCAATTTACGCGTTCTTCGTCTAGACGCGCAAATAAGTCTTTATCGTTATACAGCCATAATGCAGTTCTTCAGTACACGTGCCATGGTGTGTGTGTTGTGTGTGTGTGTGCTGCCGCGCGCGCAGCTGCGTGCGTTGCGTGCGTGCGTGGCGTGCGTGGTCGTGCGTTCGTCGCGTCGTGCGTTGTGCGTGCTCGATGCCGTGCGTGCGGAGTCAGCGTGCGGGCGTGCTGCGTGAGGCTGCGTGAGTGCGTGCGTGTGGTGTGTATAGGTGGGTGTAAATAATACATTTATTAAAATTATATTATATACTATATATAATATATATATATATATAATATATATATATATATATATATCATTTTAGATATATAGCTAATAAATAGAGCAGCTGCATTTTGTACACGTACGCTACAACTTTCCGAGTTGAAGCTGGGGCAGCCCCAAAAGAAATACCATTGTAGGAATCAACACGCATAGAGACGAAGGCGTGAATCTGAACTTCAGTTGATCCAGTAAACAAATATCTTGTCATTCTTCTAATATTGTATTGTGAAGATGATAAAGTGGAGCATGTGGTAGAGAACGCAGGTTAATATTTACCGTGACCCCACTATAACGAACACTCCATATAATAATGAACCATATAACTCCATATACATCATAGCATAGATATAAAAGAAGATCTTCTTTTATATCTATGATAATAGACACTATATAAGCAAGAGCGTATAAAGAAGTGAAATTGCGCTCGAAATCGGAACACGCGTTTTACTTTTTTTCCCAACCGATGGCGCTAAGATCGGTGAAACCATCCATGCAATCGGGAACCCTCGGACTACCTCGGACCATTCAAGCGCGTTTTCCGATTGAGCATCCATGGTGATGATTTCAAGTTAGGATAGTCTATCGTTGAATCGTCTATGGTGAAAGAGCTTTGCTTGGCTCCTTGCATTTATCAACACGCCTACTATGTAATGTAAAGTGCGTTTTGTTCCCGTCCGTTTTGGCGTAAAATTTTCATATCATATATATTGAACTTTTTATTGGCGCAAATCCACTTTACTCTTTAGGCACCTTATCAGGCTTATGACTGAGTTATATATCACAAAGTCACTTTCAAAGGGATGCACAGATTTCGGTTCAAGGATAGAGAACCACCATAAGGGTGACATGTTCTCTATCCTTGGGCCCAGATTTCTGTCATCTGTGTATCATCAACTGATGCACAGACTCCGTATATCAAGGAATGATGCAAAAACCCTACCCTAACACACTTCGTGATACCTAGGCTAAGGTTATACTTTATGACTTAGAGGGTTTTTGCATCATTCCTTGAAAGTCTGTGCATCAGTTGATGATACACAGAAATCTGTGCATCAGTTGATGATACACAGAAATCTGTGCATCACTTCGTGATACCTAAGGTGCCTAAAGTGGATTTGCACCCAAAAATCATGTGACCACATATCGTGCTGCTATTGGTTACTACTTTACAAATGTTCCTAGAATTGTTCGACATTCAGCGCACATTGACGAACATTCGACGAACAATGTTCGAGATATCAAACATTTCCGATCTTCAGAAACATTGTTCGGAATAAATGTTCGGCGGCTTTTTTCACCGCACATTGCCGAACATTTCATGGAACATTGCTACGATAATGTTTTTGAGCAAAATGCTCGGCAATGTGCGCCGGGCTTACAACAGCCATCGCATTGTTGCATTTTAAGCGTTGATGTTAAATTTGCCATCTAAACATTTCATTGGAAATCTTATTAATCTTGACAGTGAGCCACATCAATTAATCATCTTCGATATAGTCCCTTGGACTTTGAAGACTAGTAGTAGTAGTACTAGTAGTAGTACTGCTGCGGGTCTGTGGCCCAATTCTAGTTTAGCACCCTGGCTTAGTTTAGGCTTTGGGACCATGCACATTCGCGAAAAATGAGGGTAGGCCTAGGCCGTAGCCGTAGGGGTCGTGGTTCAAGGGTTAGGGTTAGGGTTTTTGCATCATTCCTTGAAAGTCTGTGCATTTCCGGAAAGTCTGTGCATCAGTTGATGATACACAGAAATCTGTGCATCACTTCGTGATACCTAAGGTGCCTAAAGTGGATTTGCACCTTTTTGATTTGCTACTGCCGGTTGTTGTTTGTTTGAACAAACGCTCTGCCTTTATTGAAAGGGTAGGTGGGCATGGCTCAGTTGGTCATGTAGATACAATAATATAACCCAACAAGAGTAGTTGGATTACCCCCCCCCCCCTACTCTTGTTGGGTTACATTATTGTATCTAATAATCTATTGGTCATGCAAAGTCGACGTAAGTGACGACCCCTTGAACCACGAGTGATCTCTATCCTTAAACCACGACCCCTACGGCTACGGCCTAGGCCTACCCTCATTTTTCGCGAATGTGGTCCCAAAGCCTAAACTAAGCCAGGGTGCTAAACTAGAATTGGGCCGATTTTTGTGCCCATGCAATCATGCGCCGATCACGTGACTCTTTACAACACAGCTACTAGACGGCGCCACGAGGTTGTTCGCTGCAAAATGTTCGGCAATGTGCGCTCAGCAATTGTTCACCCGCAAATTGCCAGACAAAAACATTTGTTCGAACGAACATTTGTTTGGGAAAATGTTCGGCAATGTGTGCCAGGCTGTACGTGCCACGTATGGCACTTGTGCCTGTAGCTCTAGTAAGTACTATAGCCCGCTTACATTAACTGCCGCTGGCAGCGGACCAGCGGCAACTGTACGCGGGCTATAGTACTAGAGCTATTGTGCCTGTAGACCGAATAATTCTGTCCCAGATAACGTTTTATATTTTGGATGCGTTATATACTGGCCCCACCCCATACCAATAACCCTCACCAAAATATAAAAAAGGTTATCTGGGACAGAATTATTCGGTCTATTGTGCCTGTGCCTGTGGCTGTGGTGATATCTACTGAAATGACAAATCATTCCACGGTTTTGCGCGATGAACAGCAGGTATGTCATGAGTTGGTATGGTAAGATACTAGCAATATAGCACTTTGTTTTCTTATTTGCAGGGTTCTGGCATCCATGGCTGAATGATTCAAATCCACTCAAAGTTTATGCGATATGCCATTGGTGCAGCATGCATTTCAATGGGCTCGTACGTACTATATCGCTCTTTGTCGATGATGCACAGGTGGATGTTTAACAGGTAGCACCTTTAATGTAATTGCACATTTATTATGTTACACAGTTCACCCACATATTTTAGGTCCAATTTTCTTAAAAGTAATTTTTCTCTTTTAATAAAGCTCGCATATCATTAGCAATATCCTGTTAATATCCAGGGGCTCGTTGTCAGAAACAAAATTAGTCTTAACATTAGTCTTAACATTAACTTTTTCTCTTAGACCGTCGACAGAAACGCTGCGAAGTTACCTGAATGAAAAATCGTAACAGATTTCCTGATAACAATACGAAACAAAGCGCTGTCGACGGTCTACGAGAAAATGTTATTGTTAAGACTAATGTTAAGACTAATTTTGTTTCTGACAACGGGCTCCAGGTAATATACATAGAAATGTATCAGAAAGTGGCAGCTTCTTCAGATGCCAAGAAGTTAAGAGAAAATCAAAAAACTTTCTTGCAATTCTTCTTTTTTCTTTTATCAGAGGATAATAAATAATTAACAATAATTATCAGTTTTGTTAGCAGAAATTCGCAACATCTTTTAACTGATGTAGGTGCATTCAATTGAAAAAAACCTAGATGATCATTTATAATTTTTAAATTTGAAAATGTGTTATACACAGTACGTATACATTTGTAATATCTTTGTTTGATACACATAATTGCCCAAGTAGATCAATACACCAAAATTACCTATATATAGCCAACAATATAAGTATGCTAGTATGTTAATAGTGTAAGCAAAGAGCTTATTATAGTATTATATTAGTTTATTAGTATTATTAAAATTATAAGCCCTTTGGTATAAGTAATTAACTACTAATTACTACTTAAAAACTACTAATTACTAGTTCAATTTAATGTAATTGCACATTTATTATGTTACACAGTTCACCCACATATTTTAGGTCCAATTTTCTTAAAAGTAATTTTTCTCTTTTAATAAAGCTCGCATATCATTAGCAATATCCTGTTAATATCCAGGGGCTCGTTGTCAGAAACAAAATTAGTCTTAACATTAGTCTTAACATTAGTCTTAACATTAACTTTTTCTCTTAGACCGTCGACAGAAACGCTGCGAAGTTACCTGAATGAAAAATCGTAACAGATTTCCTGATAACAATACGAAACAAAGCGCTGTCGACGGTCTACGAGAAAATGTTATTGTTAAGACTAATGTTAAGACTAATTTTGTTTCTGACAACAGGCTCCAGGTAATATACATAGAAATGTATCAGAAAGTGGCAGCTTCTTCAGATGCCAAGAAGTTAAGAGAAAATCAAAAAACTTTCTTGCAATTCTTCTTTTTTCTTTTATCAGAGGATAATAAATAATTAACAATAATTATCAGTTTTGTTAGCAGAAATTCGCAACATCTTTTAACTGATGTAGGTGCATTCAATTGAAAAAAACCTAGATGATCATTTATAATTTTTAAATTTGAAAATGTGTTATACACAGTACGTATACATTTGTAATATCTTTGTTTGATACACATAATTGCCCAAGTAGATCAATACACCAAAATTACCTATATATAGCCAACAATATAAGTATGCTAGTATGTTAATAGTATAAGCAAAGAGCTTATTATAGTATTATATTAGTTTATTAGTATTATTAAAATTATAAGCCCTTTGGTATAAGTAATTAACTCTGGAAGTATGTGTTGCATGAACAAATCCCTACAGAGTGCTACTGCTCGTCGACAGAACTTTGCATCGTACGTAATCCTCCACGTGAAACTCGCATTTCATCCATACAATAAAGTCAATATAAAAGGACGTGAAATAGGGGGGGGGGATAGGTCTCGAACTGCTCCTCCTCATCAGCGCTGTCAGTTTCCTCGCCATCATCGCCGACAGGGTGGATCGTGTCAAAGAACCTGGTGGTGGAACATGCCTGCTTCAATAATAAATAATATGTTACTAAATTATATACCGTAGAACCATAGAATGAGACTTTTGGAATGGACGTTTTACGGGGACATCCATAGCATTAATTCGCTACCAATAGGCAATAGCACACTCTTTGTTTATACCACGCACTGTACTAGTACTAAATTCAAGCTTCCACGAGAAGTTGCACTGCACGGAGGAGGTAACCCAACCCTAAATTGTTTAACCCTGCGCCGAAGTCCAAGGCGACACAAGCCACTCGACAAGTGATCAAGAAGCTAAGAGACGTCGACAGGAAGTGCATAACCACATGTGACTCTAGTGTCTCTCTCCCACAGCAGTTGCATTTTGACGACACGGTACCCGCTAAGTTGTAATAACACGTAAACTTGGAACCAAGCCTGCTCCAATAAATACCACCGGTAAGGAGATCTGTCCATGCAACAGGAAGTCTGTGTCATCAAGATCCACCTATGTTCAGTGTGATCAGTGTAACCAGTGGTGGCATCACGGCTGTGCCGGAATTGCAGACAGTATTTTAGACAAGTACATCGATAAGGAGAACTATTGCGAATTCCACTGCTTGTTCTGTCAGCTAGACCGGCTGCAAACAACACCTGCCCTAAAGTACAAGCTAATCGGACGAATCGCAGGTAACACTAATACCACCAGCAGTGTCAATACCACTATCTGTGAGGCAGCCCAGGAAAGTACATGTAAATACTCGACGGCTGTCACTGACTACACTAACGAGGCCGGGCAAGGTATCACACCACCAGATAAGGATAACAAATTTATTGTTATAGTAGACAACATCTATAACCCCTCACAGTTTCAGGACTCCAAAGCCATCATCCGGGTCGTAAAACGAAACATACCAACTATAAACGTGTACCACACATATCCATTGCCTGGAGGTGGCATCTGCCTTCATCTACAAAGTGAAGAAGACATAAGCTTAGTACTGGGTAACTGGCCAAGTGAGTCATTCCAATCAGAACGTTGCCCACATCTCCCCGCCTGTAGAACTGCTAACACCACAGTCGTGGCTGGGAACGTCGACACAAGAGCTACAGAGCAGTCAATAGAGGACGAGCTGACTACAGCATACAAACAGATGGTAAAAGTTAAACGGTTCAGGAACCGTAACTCCGGAAAGCCAACCCCAGTCATCAGTGTACGGTTTGGAAACAGCGACACAGCGACCCAGACAATCACACAGGGCCTGTCATTGCAAGGTAAATTTATTCTTTGTGAACCGAAACGTGCCACAAAAATCATACGCTGCTTCCGTTGCCCGATATTCGGGCACGTGGCCCGCAACTGTAGACAAACCCCAGCATGCATCAGCTGCA